CATCCAAGCCTCATGTGTGTTAGGGTTAGAGAGCGATGTACCCATTGCTGTCCTACAGGGCAGCAGTGTTGAAAACAATGGCCAACGGCACTTCCGTTTCCCAGAGAGATGTCATACGTGGTGCCTTCCTTTTGAGGACAAGGGTTTCCCCTCTGAGAATAAGCCCGAGTTTTGGAAATAGATAATGATTTGCAGACTACTCTGGTAAAAATAGCAGTGTTTTTGCTAAAAAATGAGGTGTGGCCTAAATCATGGGGCTTTTAATTATAGAAATAACATAATTTGTAGCTGATGAGCCCAAAATTATGACAGTCAAGTTGAGTGCTTTTCCCCAAAGCTATAAAGCTTGAAAGGCCATAAATTTGCTCTAATGTTGCAAGTCGCTTAAAATATCTTTGGATTTCAAACATGTCTTGAGAGGCAAGTTAATAGTTATACAAGAAAAAGCACCATGTGCACCAGCAGTGGTGAGTCATGCCTGTGATCCCAGCAAGGGCTGTGTTGCCCAGGCTAGAGGGTTGGTTTGACTTTGAGGGCAGCCTAGGCTACAGGAAGTGTCAGAGCTGCATAAGAAGACTCTGTCTTGGGGTCTGGGGAGATGGCTCAGTAGTAAAGTACCTGCTGTGCAGATGTGAGGCCCTGAGTTTGAATCCCTCCACCTCCAGCCTGTGCCTGTAATCTCAGTGCTGGAGAGATGAAGACAGCTGGATCCCTTGGGTTTGCTGGCCAGCTAGTCTAGCGGAATCGGTGAGCTCTGGGTTCAGTGAGAAACCCTGTCTTTAAAAAATTAAGGTAGACAATGATAGAGGAAGAAACCAGACATCGAGTTCTAGCTTCCACATGCACCAGCACACATGTGCACACATGTACACACACATATACAGACACACAAGAGCCCAAATTGTACCATTATGACACTAATAATTAAAAGCTACGGAGAACACACACTCCTGAAGAACTAAGCAATATTATCACAAGGGAAAGACCTGAGATAATCATAGTAAATTCAGATGAGTAAGCTTGAAATAATTAGAAACTATCAAGTATGGAAGACAAAGATGATTCAGTGTGAAGTTAATTAGCATCTGTGGATTGGAGACTACAACAAATGAAAAGACGACGTAACCAAAGCAAAATGACGCACGCTTGCCCTCCCTGCAAGGCAAGGGATTGTGATTTCCTGTTGCTCACCCCTCAGTAGACTCCAGCCTGACCAGGCAGAAAAGGAATCGGGGAAGGGAGAAAAAAAAAAATCAAGATAAGGCAGCATTGGTCAGCATAAGTTGTTGTCAGATGTGGGCTCGTGCTCAATTGTAGCGTTACTCTCTACAATCATGGTCGGGCCGTTGGGACAAGATGAGGGCAGAGCTCTGCACTTGAGCTCTGGTACCTTCCAGTTTGCCAAGGAGACTTTCTAACTTGTCTAGGATGTCATGGCTATTCTCTGTCTCCTGCTCTAAGTTCTTCCTTTCCCCTCGGGACCCCCTCAAGTTCTCTAGCCCACCTCTGGACTCTCACCTTTGACAGAAGGAGCCCCCCATCTTTCCTGAGATCCCTATGGAGTGCCAGGCCCACTTACGTTGTTTGAAATCCTGCTACTTTGTAAGTGAAGCTGCAGAAGTCCGAGATCATTCTAGCTAATGTCCTCACCAGAGCAGCACCCTCCCACTGAGCTGTGTCCTCGGAATAAAATGGAATTTATGGCTATCCTACCTCAAGATGTCCACCGTTATTTACCCAGTTGCCACAGCATGTCTCACAGGTCACTAGGGTAATAGAACAAATGACCTCAGACACAGGGAAGGTGTGTTACTGGGCTACTTTTCTTTTTTCCCAAGAGCAGCGTTGTGAGGCGTGGTATCAGGAGGACAAATTCTGCCGGGGTTGGGAAAGAAACATTTAAAGGAAGAAGAGACTGACGAAAGGGAGAAGCCCGGGCCATAAATTTTGCTCACTTCTCAAGACTGTCTCCTTAAGAGTGGGTCTGAAGAGAGGCAACTCAAGGCACTGAGCCCAGTGTGCGGAGGGATTTTGAAAACCAGCCTAAGCCATGACTGATGGGGAACATTAGGAAGTCAAGGTCCATTAAGCATGAGGACTTTGTCAACATTTGGACTTGTAGATTTGCTGTCGTTGGTTAGTCCAATCCTAGAAGTTAGTGCTGAGCCAAAAGCTTGCGACCACCCTCGGCTGAGCCAACCTCGGCTGAGCTACCCTTGCTGTTGCTTGGACAAGTGAATGCTGCTTCAACAACCCTCCATTCTGTCCTGTCCCATCCATTCACATAGTGGTCCCCCCCGAAACAGTTCCAATCACATTACTCTTTGCTTATAAACCTTTAAACTTCCCATTGTTCTTTGTGGGTTTTGTTTGTGTTTTGGTTTTCAAGACAGATTTCTCTGTGTAGCTCTGGCTGTCCTGGAACTTGCTCTGTAGATCTTTGTAGACCAGGCTGGCTTCGAACTCACAGAGATCCACCTGGCTCTGCCTCCCGAGTGCCGGGACTAAAGGCGTGCGCCACCACTGCCTGGCTGTTTTTGATTTTTTTGACAGTGTCTCATGTATCCCAGGCTGGCCTCAAACTCACTACTTAGCAACTAGGGATGAAACCTTGATCTTGTTTCACTATCTGAGTGCTGGGATTACAGTCACTACACCCAGCTAAATTTACCACTGTTCCTGAAAGAAAATTCACATTTCCTATAAGGTCTTGCTACATTCTTTGAGTTCATTTGTTAGATTTCCCCTTATAAAGCATCATCTTATAGACATATGGTACTTTCTGTTGGTGGGATATATCAAACTCTCAATGCTATTCCCTTGACCTTTAATGCTCTTTCTCTAGGACTGAGATTGATTCCTCCACCTCTTCACCTGGCTGGACCATTGGCCAACTTCAGCACCTGACCATCTCCTTGTTTGTCTATTTCATGTCAAACTGTCCCGCTTTCTCTATCCTAGCCTATTTTTCCTCTGCCCCACCCCGGTAAGGACCGAACCCAGGGCTTCATGCATCCTAGACAAGCCCTGTCTCATGAACCCTATAACCAAGGAGGCACCCCTCTTTGCTTTGCTTTGTTTTGAGGCAGAGTGTTGCACTATCCTAGACTGACCTGGAACTCATGTGGTAGTCCAGGCTGGTCTTGAACTCACAGCCATCTTCCTACCTCAGCCTTTCAAGTGCTGAAATTTTAGGCATGAACCACCGCCAACTCAACTTGTTTCATAAATCAGCGCGATCTCAAACTCAATAGGTAGTCAAGTATAATCTGAAACTGCTGATCCTCCTGCCTCTCTCTCCCAAGTGCTGGGATTACAGGAAGGGCCAACAAAACCAAGTTAAGCAATAAAAGGGAACAAAACCAAGGCCCCCCGCCACGCTAGGCAAGTGTTCTATCTACCATTGACCAACATCCCCAGCCTCAAGAGACATGTTTTTCATAAGCTCTGAGATGACTGTGATTTGTGAGAAACACTAATTTGGTTCTTCCACCCTGGTTCCATAGATAAGGAAACCAAAGTGCAGAGCAGGAAGGAGGGTAGAAGCGTAGGAGTCCAGGTCATTGTATTGCTCTCTCCGTTGTAAGCAAACAAACCATTTACTGGAAAACAAACAACCGGCAATGTGAATTACAGTGGCTACCATTCGTTGAGTACCTGCTATATGGCAGGCTCTGTTGTAGGAACATTATATACATTTAACCCCCTTTAAAAGTGTAGCTCAGCTGGGCAGTGGTGGCACACGCCTTTAGTCCCGGCTCTCGGGAGGCAGAGGCAGGCAGATCTCTGTGAGTTTGAGGCCAGCCTGGGCTACAGAGTGAGTTCCAGGAAAGGCTCAAAGCTACACAGAGAAATCCTGTCTCGAAAACAACAACAACAACAACAACAAAAAGTATAGCTCTTGGGGCAGGAGTGATGACTCAGCAGTTAAGAGCGGCAAGTCCTGCTCTTTCAGAGGACCAGGTTCAGTTCCCAGCACCTGCATTTCAGCTCACAACTATCTGTAACTCCAGTTCCAGGCAACCCAACACCCTCCTATGGCCTCTGAGGACTCCTGTGCACATGTGTTGTCCATAACACACACACACACACACACACACACACACGCACGCACGCACGCACGCACGCACGCACGCACGCACGCACGCACGCACACCTTTAAAAAAAAGCTACAGATCAGAGCTGAGGTCGATGGAGACGGCTCAGTGGGTACAGGCACT